ATACAAAAAAAAAAAAAAAAGAAAGAGCCAGCATGGTGGTGCATGACTGTAGTACTAGCTACTGGGGGAGCTAAAACGGAAGAATCCCTGAATCCAAGCAGGATTGTATGTGTGTGTGTGTATATATATATATATATATTACACACACACACATATATGAAAGAAGAAAAAAATTTAAGACAACAGCAACATCAGTGTGCAGGAGGAAAGAGCATAAGAGAGAAAGAAAAGGAAAAAATAATAGTAACTTAATGTACTGTGGAAACAAACTCAGAGCGGGGCTAGGAGAAAAAAAATTTTTAAACCACAAAAACAAAAACAAAACCTCAGAAAGGTCCCCAGAGCTGCAGCTACTCTGTAGGCCGGAGGGGGAGGATGACCTGGGTGAGCCCGGGAAGGGAAGGCCGCGTGAGCCGTCATCGCACCCTCTACTGGACCAACACGGTATTGCGGCCAGCTAAAGCTATCTGGTCCACCTTAAACATGCCAAGCAGGCAGCCAGGTCCTTGCCTTGGGGTGACATCTGGCAGACCCGGCAGCGGACAAAGAAGCCAGCCAGTGTCGAGGGCAGAGGCCCAGCGGGTCCACCCTACAGGCCAGGTGTGGCCGAGTGACGCGCAGGGCCCGAAGCCATCTGTCTGGAATCTAACTGCAACAACCTTCCTTCCCACTGCACCCCCACATTGTCTGCTGGCCCACCCAACCTCCTAAGTAGTTCAACCTCCTAAATAGCTGGGATGATAGGCATGCAACACCTCAACTGGCTAATTTTTTATTTTTAGTAGATACAGGGTTTCACTATGTTGGCCAGGTTGCTCTCGAACTCCTGACCTCAGGTTGTCCACTGGTCTCAGTCTCCCAGTGTTGGGATTACAGGCGGAGGTTGCAGTGAGCTGAGATCGTGCCATTGCACTCTAGCCTGAGCAACAAGAGCAAAACTCTGTCTCAAAAAAAAAAAAAAAAACCTCAAAATAATAAGAGCCACCTATGACAAATCCACAGCCAACATTATGCTGAATGAGAAAAAGCTGGAAGCAGTCTCCTTGAAAACCAGAATGAGACAAGAATGTCATCTCTCATCACTCCTATTCAACATAGTACTGGAAGTTCTGGTCTGGGTAGCCAGGCAAAAGAAAGAAATAAAGGGCATCCAAATACAAAGAAAGGCAATCAAACCATCCTTGTTTATAGATTACATGATTCTGTTTCTAGAAAACCTCATAGTCTCACTCAGCTCAAAAGCTTCTTAAGCTGATGAAGAAGCTTTTGGGTTTTGGCAAAGTCTCAGAATAAAAAATCAATATGCAAAAATTACTAGCATCCCTATCACAAACAATAGTCAAGCTGAGAGCCAAATCCTGGTACAAGAACAGAAACACAGCAATGGAACAGAATAGAGGGCCAGAAATCAAGCTGCACACCCACAACGATCTGACCTTTGACAAAGCTGACATAAAGAAGCAATGGGGCCAGGCGCGGTGGCTCAAGCCTATAATCCCAGCACTTTGGGAGGCCGAGGCGGGTGGATCACGAGGTCAAGAGATCGAGACCATCCTGGTCAACATGGTGAAACCCCGTGTCTACTAAAAATACAAAAAACATTAGCTGGGCATGGTGGCGCGTGCCTGTAATCCCAGCTACTCAGGAGGTAGAGGCAGGAGAATTGCCTGA